GACCTCTATCTCTCATCTACAGTTGGTCCAAAATGCAGCAGCACAGCTGCTAACGGGAGAGCAAAAGCAGAATCACATTTCTCCGATATTTGCTGCACTGCACTGGTTACCGGTGAGAAATATGAAAGCTGAAAATAGCTATAATAATCTGTATACTCCTAGTGTAATGGTCTGCAGCTCTGCGGGCCCTACGGCTCACCAGAGTAGCAAATATGCTGCCAAAAGTCATGAAGACAAGCATCTACCTTATTGTGCTTCATTCTACCTTTTTTTCTTTCTTTTTTTACTTTTTGTGACCATAACAAATTAAAACAAAGGTAATTGTCTGCTTTCTTCCATATTACATATGATTGATATCCTAAATAAATTTATACATTTTCGGCAGTGGGCCAACATTTTACTTGCAATGGGAAGTTTAGGCTCAACCACACGCACAGGACAATACTGCCCAAGAGATGATGTTTGTTACTCTGTTGTCTGTGTTCTGGTGCTTGTGTGTGCGTGCAACGGAGTCCCTCCTCCATGAAATGCAAGAGGCAAACCCAGAATTAAACCTCCTTAAAAAGTCACGGACGGGCTCCCTCCTGGCTCTGTGTACACTCTGCTGACCACTGGGCAAATAACTGTAAGCTGTAATACCCAATATGGACTAAACACTTCAACACCGGTATGAAAATGGGCAAAATCCTGATAGAGGTACAAAATGGATCAAAAACACAAAATGAGTAAAAAATTTACCCAAAATAAACAATAAACAAATAGAACTCTACTAATAAATTCTTTCCAGTCGGTGATGGTGTTATAAGTTGTGCCAACTAGGATGAGTCGGCATTGTCGAATATTCAAGAATGCGTATAAAATAATAAAATTTAAAACATTAATGAGCTATGTTAAATATTTATCAGCAGTATAATTCGTTGTAGTTTACCTGCTCTGTAATAGTTTTTCGGTATAGTTCTGAAGTTTACCTTGTTTTTGCACAAGCGCTGCGTGCACTCAGAGCCAATCATAATGATTTTGTGTCCTTGCTCCCTCCTTATGGTGCGTTTGTGAGAAATTCAAAAATGACTGAGGCCACCAACAACTGATCATGAGAAGACATTAGTCTCCCACTGTATGGAAATATTTTAGATTCCACAAAGAAAGTATTGTGCAATGATCTAGTAATTTGTTGGCTTTGTGCCTGTTTGGGAAAATTTGTAGCAACAGGTATAAGAGAATCCGCTTCTGCTGCTGCTGCTGTTAGTTTTATATGTACATTTAGGTTGTCATGATTGTCCTTTAAAATGTTCTTGAAGCTCGTGTTCAGTGAAATTTCTTAATAAAATTTTAAATGAGTGAATTGCTGGTGTACCAGTACACACTTTTTCGTGAATTGACCAGAATGTGAACTACGGGCATGCCCAGTAAAGACAGACTATTGGTAGGTAATAACAAGTTCTATATGGCTATAGTTTATTTTGGGTAAATCTTCAACTACTCCCTTTTTGTTTTTATAAATATCATGATATTTATTGCAAAGGTTTCAAATATTGCAGTGTTAATATTTCCAATATTGTTCAGCCCTAGTTTTAAGACTGATATAGGGTTCCACTGTACCATTTCAGTACCAGTTGCAGATAAGTGAAATATTTGGTAAAATGTTGGACTATCTTCTTATACATGCAGCACGAATAAATAAAAATAGCTGCATTGCATGCATGAAATGTGATTCTGCGACAGCGCTTTCCTTCTTCTGTTTTCTTCAACACAAAAAAGTTTCATAGTGATGATGAAAGCATGCCCAGAATGTTATTACTAATTAGAGGACTGATTGGCTGAATCCTCACATCTGGGTTTGAACAGCTGACCTAAAGGTTATCCAAAAACGGGCATACACACTGGCCCTTTGCAGATAAGATTGCCCACCCCTGCCATACACATTTCTCAATGTGTTTCGGGGTGGGGTTGATCGAATAATAACTGGTGAAATTTGGCTAGTAATTCTGCCTGAAATGACCATCCGTCGTGCCAACAGACATTAAGGAGTGCAAACAAATTGCTTTTGCTATCATCTCTGTTGAATCCAAAGTATTTCCATACAGCAGAAGACGATTGTCTTTTGGTGACCAGTTCTTGTTTGCGTTTCACTCACCACGCTCTCTATGAGTGAAGCTCTACAGCAAGGATGAAAATGACCATGATTGTCTCAGAGAGCACATGTAAACTTTTTTTGTTTGTTTAAACATATACTAGATAATATTGAAAAGCAACAATCAAATTTGCAAAGCTTTCGAAGTTTTGTTTCGCATGGCAGAGTAAAAATATTTCAGCATTATTGATGGTCTCAACCTAGCTGACTACTCTGGTCTTTGCGATGTGACAGTTGCATGTGCATAACATGCAATATTGATATTAACATTGCATGTTATACATGCTTAGTATATAGTCTCATGCACCCATGTGATATACATGCAGTACTGAGAAAAACAGGCTTCATAACAGGCTTTCCACAGGATTTTGGAGTGCGTCTGTGGGAATTTTTGCCCATTCATCCAGAAGGGTACTTGTGAAGTCAGACACTGATGTTTGACGTGAAGGCCTGGCTCACAATTTCCATTCTAGTTCATCCCAAAGGTGTTTGATGGGGTTGAGGTCAGGACTTTGTGTGGGCCGATGAAGTTCTTCCAGACCAAACTCACCCAACCTTGTCTTTATGGACCTTGCTTTGTGCACTGAGGCACAGTCATGCTGGAACAGAAAAGGGCCTTCCCCAAACTGTTCCCACAAAGTTGGAAGCATAGTATTGTCCAAAATGTCTTGGTATGCTGAAGCATTAAGAATTCCCTTCACTAGAACTAACTAAGACTGTGATTTCCCCCCCTAGTAAACATGATATAATAAGGACCCCTGGGTACCTTGAAACCTCATATCAGGCCTTTTGTAAAAAATCTAGGGGTAATTATGGACAGTGATTTTAAACTTGATAAGCATGTAAACTCTGTGGTCAAGAAGAACGTTTTTCCAGTTAAGTCTCTTGACAAAGGTCAAGCCCTTTCTGAGCTTTGATGACTTTGAAAGGGTCACATGTGTTTATTTCCTCTCGTCTCAATTATTTTAATTCTCTTTATGCTGGAATCAGTCAGACCTCTATCTCTCATCTACAGTTGGTCCAAAATGCAGCAGCACAGCTGCTAACGGGAGAGCAAAAGCAGAATCACATTTCCCCGATATTTGCTGCACTGCACTGGTTACCGGTGAGAAATATGAAAGCTGAAAATAGCTATAATAATCTGTATACCCGTAGTTTAATGGTCTGCAGCTCTGCGGGCCCTACGGCTCACCAGAGTAGCAAATATGCTGCCAAAAGTCATGAAGACCAGCATCTACCTCATTGTGCTTCATTCTACCTTTTTTTTTCTTTTTTTACTTTTTTTACTGCATTTTGTATTTACTCTGGTTATATTTGCCTCTTATTAAAATATGTTTGATCTGAAACATGTAAATGTCACATTTAAGAAATCAACACTGTATAATATCAGCACTAATGTCTTTTAAAGCCAAAAAGAAGGACTCTTGATGTGTCCAAATTAAAGCAAAGCACATATTAGGACGATCATTTAGGGCCTGCTTATCCTGATACTCGTACCATTTAATCATCCATTTAGCCCCTTGTAGAACATACCAATTATCTGAACTACCATGCATGTATAAGGGAAGTGTTAAGCTATCTGATAGCTACACAGTAATATAAAACAGGAGAGTTTTAAATTCAGCATTATATCCAAGTTACTATCTGCAGCTTTTGTTGAAGCTAAACTTAACCTGGAATGCCTTAATGCAGAGGTCGCCAGGTTCTCTGCAAATGGCCTGTGACCAAAACCCAGCTGGATCCAACACCACAAGCTTGTAATATTTTCAGATTTGCAGTACTGTTCTATTTTGTGTCTAAATAACTGAGCAGCGCTAATGCCCTGCCAATAATGTGATGAAAATGGCCATGCAGCTTATACATGCATCTATGTACACAGTGTTCAGGTACATTAATAATGAGACATTGACCATTAATAATACACTATTTATAATCTGTAAACTTTGGCCATTAATATTATGGATTATGTATCACTGTATTCATCTGAAACTGCTTGGACCAGTTTGAAAATGAGCCCAAAGTATTTTGCACCCGTCTTTGGAAGCTGCATTTTCTTTCACCGTGGTGGATTCCCACAAAGAAAGGCATAGCCCAGAAGTGTATGTGCTGTGTAGCGCTGCGCAGTCGCTGCGTGTCTCTATGTGTCTTGGCCGGATCCCCCATGTCTACAGGATCAGGTGATGTCTGGGCTTGGAGAGTGAATTCTTACCGAGCCATCGGTGTCTCTCCCCGCCTTGCTCCTCTTATCTGCAGTGTACCGCATCCTCCCCCACCCTAGTGAAATCACGCCTTTTTCCCATACTTTTCATCAGCCTCCAGTGAACTTCCCTCTTCCCCCTCTTCACCCCCACCGGCTCCCCTATTCAGGGCTGGAGCTGTTTGTGCTTCTGCCTTATTCTCAAACAGAGCCAAGAAGCAAGAAAAGCACCCGGGGGAGTGAGTTACGCATATGCTAATTACCCACCAGACAGGAACACTGAAACAGGCGCTTTATAAACGCACATGTGCCCCCCCCCCCATCCCCAGAGTGGCACCAAAGTAGAGCAAAGGCCTCAAGTGGCACGCTGAAATGCCTTCCCCGACCCCTGAACGTCATTTTGCTTCGCGGTCAGCCTCGTGCCCTCTGGATTCACGGGGGAATGACGGAAAGTGGAACTGCATCCTAATCTTCAGCACATGCCACACGTGCAGCCGTGCAAGAAGCATGAAGCACGCATGGCACGTTTCGTTATGAAAGACTGTCGAGAGGCAGCAGAAAGCGCTTAAAAGCTGCCCGGTTGGATTCTCCCATATCCCCCCCCCCCCCCCCCCCCCCCCCCCCCCCCCACCATGAGTGCAGGGAGTCACTTCCCGTTTTCTCTTCCCGCAGTTGATCCATGCCCTGACCCTCCCGCTGGAGCCATGGGGAGGGAACAGCTTCTTTGGATGCTGCTGTTTGTGCTGGCTGCCGGGGTAAGAAGCAAGCCCCGGCCTGTTTCCTCTTTGGGATGGTTCCAGGCGGGTCGGTCACCTGTGAACTCCCACAGGACGGCCGCTGCGATGACCTGGGGACAGAGGAGTCATTTGTGGTGCCAACCGGCTTGGAGCTGAAGGTTTCCCGAGGACAGATCCTGTCAGCGCAGTTCGAGTGCTACCTGAAGATCATCACTGACCCTCCCAACGCTGAGAATGGTGAATGGCATCGCATTTACATTTAACTTTCACCTATATAATGAATACTGCTAAGAAAACATCCTTAGGGGAGGTTTTGAAATGGCTAAGCTGGCACCCTTTGACAGACATTGTAGTTTTACTGCAACATGAAGATCATTTAGACTTTTTCTTTGGCTGGCTAAGAGTTTTTCATAGTATAGTGTGTGTGTGTGTGTGTGTGTGTGTGTGGTCGGTCTGTTTTGGTGTGAATGTGTGTGTTGTGGGCTCCTCAGCAAAAAGACAGAGGTAGGAAACGACGGCATGTTAAATAAGCCACTGTGTGGGGCTGCTTTGTGCAGTATTTCCTGACTGCCCGCGTGCTCTACATCCAGACTTCCTTGCATTGTTTATAGGGAATATTTGCAAGGGGCAGCAGAGAAAGCCACTGGGACCCAAACAAGGACCGTAAATTCCCAGTAATCTCCCAAGGCCACATTTTCCATCCTGAAGTTTTATATATAGCGCTCCATTGGTCTCTGGAGCTTGTCTCATTTTATACAGTCCTCCTATAAATGCGCACGTGTAGAGTGTTGGCTCTGATTGCCAGTAACTGGAAGGTTGTGGGTTCAAATCCCATGAATGCCCAGAGTCATTCTACTCCATTGGGCCCTTTAGCAAGGCCCTTAACCTGCAATTGCTTCGTCCTGGGTATGATGTTAATCTACATCCAGCCCTATAAGGAGGTCCTCTAACCAGGATTGGCAGTCCAGCCACTGGAAAAAAACCTCAGACTTGTCCATTTGGACTATTACGGTGCGTAGATGTCAGGTTCTCATCCCTGAGGTGGTTTGTCATGTGGTGGGTGCAGCAACACACTGTATCTCCTTACCTTACCTATAAATGTAGCAATAAGGCACAGCGTGAGACTAGCACAAAAATATTTTGCACGTATGATCCAGGAGACTTTGCAGCCATTGGAGCTGTATTTCTAACGGCAAACTGATGTCCCTGACAGTCCAAGAGCAGTGACAGAGTAACTGTGTCTGTGTCCACTGTAGGTCTGCACCGTGCCTCATGTATGTGTCTCTGCTGCAGGTCCCTACTGCAACCGCACGTGGGACGGCTGGCTGTGCTGGGGCGACTCCCCCCCGGGGACAGCAATGCAGTTTTGTCCCGAGTACTTCCAGGACTTCGATCCCACTGGTGAGGTCCCCACCTTCATGGATGCATGTGTTTCATAAGCTTCTGTTCCTCCATTCATCTTCCAGATACTTAGCTACTTGTGTTGAGTGGGTCTGGATCCGGTCCCAGTCAGCTCAGGGTGCTGGTCCATCATAACGGCCACACAGCAGGCAATGTAGAAGTTAGGCTGATAGAGTGTCTTTGGACCATCGGGGAAACTGCCATGGCACTGAGGAGACACAGAGCAAAGGCAAGACATGCCCGTTTAACCACCTACTCAGACAAGAATGTGCCGTGTGACCTCTGTCTGGATAGCGACCATCCCCAAAATATGAGCTGAATTGGACGCAGTGTGCATTCAGGGGTCAATCTTCTCCGTTTTTGTTTCAGAAAAGGTGACGAAAGTGTGCAACCCCAACGGCCAGTGGTTCCGTCACCCAGAAAGCGATCGCATTTGGTCGAACTACACCCAGTGCTCTGCTTACATCCACGAGAAACTCAAGGTACTTGAGCAAAGCCCACTTGCAGAGACATTCGTAAATAACAGCCACTAACTTTCTTATTGTTCTCAAGCCTCAAATTTTATTGCATGCTGTTGATCAAAGATCTACGTTACAGAAAAGACTCCAGACTTGTAGAAGTCTGACGCCTGCTGTGACTGGCCATGACTATGTTTCCCTGTCTCCAGTTTGCTTTCAGCTTGTACTACCTGGCCATTGTGGGCCATGGCCTTTCAGTGGTGTCCTTGCTGATTTCGCTCGGTATCTTCTCCTGCTTCAAGTAAGTGCCCCCTAATGTGCTGTTGGTGTAGTGCAGGGGCTTCTCTTTGGTTCCCCCTAGTGACGAGTCCATGTACTTTGATAGTGGTAGGAGGTCTCCTGCCTTGGCTTACATTCTACCTGTGGTTCTGGTGCTTGCTCAGGAGTCTCAGCTGCCAGAGGATCTCACTCCACAAGAACATGTTCCTCTCCTTTATCCTGAACTCCATCTGCACAGTCATCTGGCTCTCCGCTGTGGCCAACAACCAGCAGCTGGTGGAACGAAACCCTGTAAGTCTCCTGGAGAAACATCGAACCGTCGTGAGAGCTTATGGCACCCAGGGACAGGTGCTCGGCCCTTGGGAATATGAGTAAATAGTGGTTGTCTCACCTTTATACTTTGGTGAGGAAATGCTGGCCCATAATCAAAATATTTTCAGAAAGGGCCCTCCTGTTGTTCCCTCATCAGGAATAACTTCAGCTGGTCACAGGAATGTATGTAAGCACAAAATGGAATTGTGTGTAGGACGCTGCCCATGTGGTGTCTATATGTCGATTTCAGATAGGCTGCAAAGTGTTGTCTGTCCTGAACCTGTACATCTGTGGAACCAACTACTTTTGGATGCTGTGTGAGGGTATCTACCTGCACACCCTTATTATCGTGGCCGTGTTTGTTGGGGAGCAGCAATTGGGCTGGTACTACGTCCTGGGATGGGGTGAGTATGCTCTGCTGGCCCAGAATCTACCCAAAACACCCACCCCAAAACACTTAATCAGGTTCCAGTTAGGATGAAGAATTAGTCTTCTGTCCTCTGGTCCTCTGACCTATTCAAATCAGTCCTCAATGACCAAGCCCTGCTGATTTTCCAGCCTTCCTTTACCTGTGAGCCAGGTGTGAAGCCTCTGGCCAATCAGAATCAGTAATTATTAAACTAGCTACCTGTGAAAACTGAAAACCAGGCCTGGATTTGGGATCGAGGTCCAGATTTGAAGAGCCCTGGTGTAGAAGCTTGATTTTGCAACTTCAAGGAAACTTCTCAAGCACATTTTAAAACAACATAAAATTAGGCTTTAAGGCTTGCCAAGCTATTATCCTTATTTTTCAATGGAATTACCTTCACCAGCAAGTTTATACCATTTATCATCATTTTTATTGTGTCATATGAAGTTTTGTAGTTGGATAGTGGAATATTTTTTTTACCTTGCCTAATCTCCTGAAGGAGAGAAGAATAAAGCTTGAAAATGGAGTTCTCTCGGCCCATATACATGCAGCCATTTTGATTTATCTGGCCAATTTTTCTTGACCTTTTCATAGGTCATGTTTGGGAGCTATGTTGACAAGCTGAGCAGACACACTGACACAGAGCAATGCCAATGAGAGTAACCTCACGAGGAGGGCGGCTCATTCTGTGAGCTGCACGTTGAAGGCGATTCGCTGAAAACCGCGTGTTCCGAATTACGAACGTTTACATGAAGGGCGCCCCTGAATGAAAAAAGGCAGCTTTGAGGATGCTGAACGAGGTCACGTGAGCCGCTAACGTTAATGCTAACACGCACCCCCTACCTACTTGGACTCTTCCAGGCTTTCCCATCATCCCTGCTGTCACACACGCCGTGGCTCGGTGGCTCTTCTACAATGACAAGTAAGGAACCGGCTTGGACAGCATCGCTTAATGCGTCAGCACACCTCTGAGGCCGTACGCGGCATTCCGCACCACTGCACACTTCTCACTGCACTCTTTAGAGCACCCCTGTAGTTTCCATGGCGTGGCATCAAAGCTGTTCTGCAGTTTTGCATCCAAACATGGTGCTGTCTGTCTTTTCAGCATAAAAGCGCACAGCAGTAGACTGATGGCTATGCAAGCCAGTACACTCTCTAGAGCGGTTAGTGTCTAGACCAGTGTTTCCCAATCCAGTCCTTGTTTTTGCTCCCTACCAGACAGTCCACATTTTCGCTCCCTCCCAGCTCCTCAAAATCGTGGACTGTCAGTGGGTCCCCAAGGATCGGATTGGGAAGCATTGGTCTAGGTACATTCAGAGTGTCCTTGAACGTATTCTCTGGGAATGGAAACACCCGTGATAAGCATATTTAGGGATGTGTAATACATGAAAGCAAATAGTCCTCCCTCAGCACTTAAGAAAAAGAAGCGTTTCCTGTACATGCAAACAAGCAGTATGTGTATGTGTGTTTTCGATATTCCCCCCCAGCTGCTGGATCAGCTCAGACACCCACCTGGTGTACATCATCCATGGGCCCATTCACGCCGCCCTGCTGGTGAGTGCATGAACTGCATAAAACATTCTTCCTTTCTTTAAATGGACTGAAAATAAGAAAACATTGAACATGTGGTGCAAGATAATTGCAAGCAGCTGAAATTCATGTTCACAAATACACAAATACCTGACTAATTTAGTCATTATTGTCTTTTCAGCTTTGCATATACATGCTGAGAATTAAATTTCCATGCATGCATTTTTTTTCACCAGGGAATAATCAAGAAGGCCAAGATTACTCATTTCCCTGCTTTTCCCCCCTTTCCCCTTCTGTTCTCCAATCCATCCACCCTCCAGGTGAACCTGTTCTTCCTGCTAAATATCGTGCGGGTCCTTATTACCAAACTGAAGGTTACCCACAGTGCCGAGTCCAACGCTTACATGAAGGCAGTGCGAGCCACCCTCATTCTGGTGCCACTGCTTGGGGTGCAGTTCGTCCTGGTACCCTGGAGACCTAAGGGCCGCGTGGCTCTGGTCGTCTACGACTTCATCATGCACATCTTCATGCACTTCCAGGTGTGTCGGCCCCATCCAGTCGCCCCGAGGCTTTGCTTTATGGTGATGCAGTGCTGCTGCGTTATGAATTTGGCTCGGAAACCGCAACAATTGACTTTCCTGCCCTGGAGTGTTTGTTGGCCTCAGGCCCAGCAGGCAGACTTGAGCTGTGTATGCGTGCTGCGATGTTGAGGGTGTTCCTGCTAGTACCTGCGCTCCATTATTGTAAATGTCATGTGCAGCAGCTTCTTGTCAGATGCCTTTAATGACTGCATACTTCTCAAAGCTGATGACTGAATAAAGACAGGGCCCTTTAGCCCGGCGTTTCCCGTCCCAGTCCTCTGGGACCCACAGAAAGTCTGCATTTCTGCTCCCTCCCTTGCCAGACAGCCCACAAAAACCTGCACTGTGTATCCCCAAGGACCAGATACTGAAAACTTTTTTTGTTGTCTTCTAAAGCAAGGTGCATTAAGTAGGTCGCGCAGCTCAACAATAGTAACAGAAATGTAACAGAAATAAATGTATTCACTTCTTCTGCCTGTGTGTTCTGAGTGTCTTGCATCTAAGTGCATTATCCATCCATCCATCCACCCACCTGCCCATGTTTCAGCTCCATTTCCTAGATCATGAGGGCCTAAATATGTTATGCTGAATCAATTAGATTTATTAATATTACATCCCAAGACCTAGGTAAGCAGTTGGAAGATGGATGGACTAATATTATAGTAATTCAATGATTCAGTAACTCAGTTACAGTAAGACTGAAGAAGAATTTTATAGAAATACATATAAACACACAGCAGGAATATACATGTAAACATGTTCAATATTTTAATATTCAATAATTGACATGTTTAATGTGATTTGTATATACTTATTCAATCATTCAATAATTCCACATTTAGCTTACACAGTTGGACTGGTTATGCATGTAATGTAATTTCTCTGAATATGTTATGAATGTGTGCCCCAATCATTTCATTCTTTTTATATGCATCTCTTCACAGGGCTTCTTGGTGGCAGTCATATTCTGTTTTTGTAATGGAGAGGTTAGTACTGTTGCAATACATCATGGAAAGAGCAAAGCATTCTGGGTCATTACAGGGCTCGCCCCAAAGTGCGGCTCAGACATTGTATCAGTGAAGTGGTTGTTTTTCAGTGGTTAAAAAAAAATCCCCTTTTAACCAAAGGATTATTTACGAATGGATGTGTTTTGAAGCATTTGGATGTATCCTGAACCTTTCACTGGGGCAGCGGGGTGATTCTTTGACAGCATGGCCATGTGCTGGATGAGTAATTTCTACCCCCTCCTGATATCTGGCAGTGCCTAATGTTATGTTTCTCCCTCAGGAATGTATTTTGTGAGCCAGTGTGGTGTGTAGTGAGCTCTGTGATGTTCTTAATGACAGAACAGAAAGGGTAATTGGCAGGTTTCAAAGCCTATCCAATGGGGGCGGGCCAGTCTTCTCATCCACCAATCAGGGGGATTGAATAGCAAGGGAGGAGGAGCCATGACATATGCCTGTTTAGCTACTGTCCTAAGAGTCTGAGCAGTGATGAAGCACACAGAGGGGCTGTGACCCAGGAAGGCCTCTGGTTCTCTCAACCCCTCCCTCTGCTCAGAACCCTATCCTGTTCACACCAGGTGCAGGCGGTGTTGAAACGCCACTGGAGGCGGCATAAGGTCCAGTGCAGAGGACGCCTGATGGGAGTCGACTGGCACTCCAGCTACCATACCAACTCCTCCATTACTGAGATGAGCCGCGCCAGCATCAGCCTAAAACCCACCGGGCCTGAGACGCAAGTCAACGGGCTGAGCAACGGCAGCCACAGCTCCAGCGGCGACCGGGAGGGCCCGGGGGGGGGCTTGGAGACGTCTGTCATCTGAGCAGACACCACCACCACCCCCGACCCACCACTGCCAGTTCCAGCAGCATCACCCCCCCCACACACACACATCAAGATGGTGACTCACAATGACACTGCCAAATGCTAAATCACATTAGGTTCTGTTTGTCCACAGAAGGTGGATACAAACATTTAGCAGCACACACTGAAATGGGATGATCAGCCAGGCCACGCTCGCAGGCACAGCAGTTTGTCCGGTCTTTGCTCTGCTCTCCGGAGTTCAGCGATACAGACGCTCGCAGGCACAGCAGTTTGTCCGGTCTTTGCTCTGCTCTCCGGAGTTCAGCGATACAGACGCTCGCAGGCACAGCAGTTTGTCCGGTCTTTGCTCTGCTCTCCGTAGTTCAGCGATACAGACGCTCGCACCCTCACCTCGCCTCCGTAGAGATCCTCCCTTTCCCCCAATCTCTCTGCTCCCTGGGGTGTTGTTCTGACAGGAAGCTGTGCATCACCAGAGCCTTAGACAGACTGCAGTAACACCAACATCCTGTATCCCAGAAAAGCCTGTTTTGGGGAGGTGTGGTGTAACCTGGCTCTTTCTACCCGAACTGTTTGATGCCCAATTTGCTACTCCTGCGTATATTATTCGATTTCAATTATTATTTTTTACAATTGATGTTCCGTGATGTTCTTAATGACAGAAGAGGTTCAAAGCCTATCCAATGGGGGTGGACCAGTCTCCTCATCCACCAATCAGGGGGCTTATATAGCAAGGGAGGAGGAGGCATGACATACGCTGGTGGACAAAATTGGGGAAACACTTCCAATTTTTAGAGATTGCAGAACTTTATTGAACTGTTGTTCCAGCTACTTATTTTAATCGTCTAGTGTATATTTGTAACATTCTTTGTCTATAAACATTACCGCCAATATTTGTGTAATAATTTTTAAAGCGTAATGCCAAAAATGCTAGAATTTTGGCCACTAGTGTATGCTTGTCTAGCCACTGATTCCTGATTCCGACGAATCTGAGCAGTGATGAAGCAGACAGAGGGGAAGAGCCATGAAGGCCTGGCATTGGGTTTTATGCACAGACCATGCCACTGTGAAGGTACTCACTGTGGTCTGATATTACTGCCGGGGAAGAGGATGGCTGCCTTGACAGCCAGCATCTGAGCTGTATGACTGGGTGGCGCCAGTGTCCAGCCCGGGACTGACTTTTCACCCAAAGAGAAAGAGCCATGCATTAAACCAAGCTAAAAGGCAGCTATCAGTGGTCTAAGAGGAACACGCGACACAAAGTGTCAGAGTTAGGACAATAAAACTGACTCTGCAGAAACTGGCCATTTGCAGGAAGAGCCAGAGCAATTTGTGTTGGAGAAGCAGCGTAGATACCCATGTATGTGTGCCAAGTTATAAAATAAACCCTTGCAGGGCAGGTGGATAAATGATAATTAATTACTGCCTAGACAAATCATCAGCAATAGGAGAACATCAATCTAATATTCCAGAATGTTACACCCAGACATTCCAGTTGATAATGACTTTAATTGCATTTAAACATTATATGCACTCAATTCAAACTCATATAACTGTAAAATGGTATAACATATATACTTTTTCACTTTAAGGTTGTACTGCAGCAAGGAGAAGATTTTTTAATAAAAGGGTTCAAGCCTGAAAAGTTTTTAGAAGTGACTTTCCTTTGTAGTATTTGCACATTAAGGAAGACATGGGGGGGCATATTGTTCTCACAGCTTCATTACTGGTAAAGAGGGCCCAAGCGGGCATTTTAGTCAGTTTTACTCAAGGATTCAAGGCTACAATCAGAGGCGATTTAAGGAACTTCTCAGGATAAAAGGGACACTAAAGACTCCCACAGAAACCACAGTAGAAGCAGTGTTTTTACAGTAAAGCACAACAAATATCTGCCCTGGTAATCAATACACTGCGTAGAATAACCTACGCACATACAGTACTGTGCAGAAGACTTAGTCCTGCCAAGGAAAATTGTTGGCTATCTTTGTTGGTATAAAACTATGACTTGCAATAACCATCCACTATACCCAAGTATTCATTAACTCAACTACCGGCACACCATGTTTGCCTAATCAATACCTCACTGAGTTTAATTAAGTTCGATGAGCTGGTACTGAAATTTAACAAAAACATTGAATGCCCAGGGTGCCCCTGAGGAGAGGTTTAAAAAGCAAAGTGTTCTTCATGGCAACCCTATAAGATTTCAGCAACTTTTTTGAATTTCTGTTTTGTGTGTGTTACTGTTCATTTAAGGTAAGGTATACTTTACTGTCCCCAAGAAAGCTGGTCTTGGGCTCCAAGCCACTGCATCACACAACACGCTTGGCATCACCATGCACATGCACGCAAATACAGGACAAATAGGTCATTTGCATATATTCTAATGTTAATTCACATTTTCTGAGTACAAAATACAGTTAATAGTTTTGCACAGTACTGTATGAAAGCAAATGCACTTTAACATCAGAGATCTTTGTCTGTCTAGGCTTTGAGTGCCGCCATGGCAAGGACTTTAAGTGTAAATGACGTGAGAATGACTACAGGCCTCTCAGCAAACAGAATCACCTGATGTGGGGATGAGCCAGAGAAAAATCTGTTTATTGCAGACCAGGGGCCTGTATCACAACGCAGGATTACTTTCTTAGCCAGATAACTTGTTCGGATTTAAGGTACCTCAGTTGAAATGGACTTTATCTTTGTTCGCTTACATTTAGCCCAGACTGCCTTAAATCTGACAAGTTATCTGGCTGCACAAGAAATCCTGCTTCATGTTACAGGCCCCCAAGTTTCCAATGCCACAGAGGTTCACTGAGGCTAAGCGTGAATGTGGTCAATAAGAGGGAAAGCAAAACAAAGCACTACTGACTCAAGAAGAAAGAATAATATTCAATTGAATTTGGCAGAATATCATCCAGTGTATGGATGGCCCATTTACCTAACACCCCCCCCCCCCATAAGCCCCACGTCATCACTCCCTGTGTGTAAATGACAAGAACTGCATTCCTAGTCACAAAAACAATGTGTGTCCTTTGTCTAGTCATAGTGACCAAGCAGATATACATTGCCACATTGACATGGCATACCTTCCTAGTGTCCGTGAAGATGTAAAGCTGTGAGCTTCCACCTCCTGGTGCCCATCACTACAATATACAAGTACCAGTGGAGCTGGGAGGAAGCAAAAACCTGGACTGCCTGTGGGTTCTGGAGGAGTGGATTGGGTGACACTGGTGTATAAGAAAGAACGGCAGGTAAACTGATGATGAAAGGCACCCCACACACTTAAGGTAAAGAATAATTTGTTTCTTATCTCTTTTGTCCTACAATATATTAAGGGAATTGATGTACACAGAGAGGCCCTGTAGCTTCCCAAACAAGCAATATTAAACCACTTGTTTACATTATATTAAATTTGGCCGACACTCTGCAAAATTCATGTAGGTGAAATACCAATACCTAAACTCATACAAAGTGTAAAGTAAAATGGTGCATGTGGAACTATCTCTTTTATTTGGGAGTTTGAATATAAACTGATCAGAAAACACTGGAAGTGAAGAGGCAGGTCGCCGACACTCTCCAGGGAAGCATGAAAACGGTGGGTGGAGCTGGACTCTGGATGACTTATACGTGACCTTGGTCTTATCTTCGATTCTGCTCTCACCTTTGAAGATCATATAAACTTTCTATCTGAGACAGCTTTTTTTCACCTATGCAACATTCCACGCCTTACTCAGTACCAAGGTTGCTGAAATGCTCATTCATGCATCTCATCGAGATTATTGTAAGGCCCTGTTCATTGGTCTCCCAGCTAAATCCATCGCACCTTCAGCACACATCACCTCTATACTCCATGACCTTCAGCACACATCACCTCTATACTCCATGACCTTCAGCACACATCACCTCTATACTCCATGACCTTCACTGGTTTTCTGTTCTTTATCGCATTCAATATAAAATTCTTCTTTTTACATGTAAAGCACTCCATGGTTATACTCCTCACTATCTTACAGAATTACCCTTAAAATGATGTTGAATAACCACTTATGTACATTTCAAGTTACGAACGGCCATTCGGAATGTAACTCGTTTGTAAGTAGAGGAAGTCTGTCTCAAAGTGTCCTCCCTGACATGGATTAGGTGGTAAGCTTAATCTTAGATAAGATTTATTGACACTGTACAAATACGATGATGTCATTCGGAGCATGCCTGTAGATGCCATATTAAGGGATATTACAGAACAAAAGAGTAGCATTGAAGAGCTCAGATTCAAAGCACCTGCATGCCACCATCTTGGTTCATAAGTCTCAGGGTGTTTCTCAATATGTGTTCTTGACTGTACTTGTGTCCTCGTATACACATCACTTTACATCATCTTCCGTTGCTGAAGACCAGTTCCAATACTCAAGAACAGAAGTACAGAGGACTGTAAAAATTCCAGGATGTCGTTCTTGCACAACCCCAAAATATCAAGGATGCATCTGTGGCATCCTTGTCAAACAAGACCAATCCCATGATTCATTGCACCCCAAGTTCGGTCTTGGGAAGCAAGCTAGCAAGACTGGTTTTGCCAAGACCACAAGTATGATCTTCTCGTTCTTGGTATTGAGAAACATCCTCAGTTTACGTTGTTATGTTCAAGTAAAAGAGTAAAATGGCTGAAGATTAGAACACTGCTATCTAGTGGACGGGGTTTAAATACAACGCAAAATGAACCACCGTCTGCCACGAACCATTGCGTGTAAACTATTATTAATTAAAATTCAATACAGTGTTTTTGAGAATCAATACAGAATTATAAAACATAATATCACAACACTCAAGTGTATTGATATTTTCTTACACCCGAACTGCATAGTAGACGTGTGTGTGCATGCACCACAATGTTCCTACAATGTGATTTAAAAAATTTTGACCTTATGACATCTTTTCGGTCCCCAATTTTATTTTATTTTTGTTTGGTTAGTTATGGTTAAGGTTAAGACTGGGTAGGGATTAAGGTTGTCATAAGTGGGATTAGGGTTTTTCCCGTAGAAATGAATGGAGAGTCCCACAAAGGTATAAATACCTTATCTCTCTCTCTTTCTCTCTCTGAGTGTGTGTGTGTGTGTGTGTTAATGACAAAAATAATGCTTATTGTGATGTGACAATAATAATACTCGGGTAGCCAATAGTGGTGAAAGTTAGGGTCTGGTACAGTGCCATTTAGGTGGCAGCAATGAGCAAATGAGGACTTGTGGTGAACTGTAATTGGACTTCTTTGCAAGCCATGGATTGTCCATAATGATCACCATGTTCAAACACAGGGATAAGTGTGCATGGTTCCAGAGCACCCTAGACCAGTGGTTCTGATCCTGAGGGACCCCCTGCCAGAATGTTTTCTTCCCAACCCTACCTTAATCAGGCTCAGATGGTCCATAATAGGTTAGTAATGAATGTGGCAGGTTGAAAGCAGTGTGGGTTGGAATGAAAGCATTCTGGCAGGGGGTCCTCCAGGAACAGTACTGAGATCCACTGCCCTAGAACAAAGGTCACTGGCTGAATTTTTGAATCATCAGTCCTGTGGCTATGTGTTTGGACACTTGGATTCAGTGCATGGGCAGGAAACTGTATGGGCCAGGGTGACCCGGAAGAGCAGTCATGCTCTTAACTAATTCAAGTCACACTGCCAAAAAAAACTCTCCCATGTGTTGACCGAGGCTGGGAGCCTTGAGCCTGACAAACTCTGTTGAAGGCCTCAGTCATTGCAGTTGCCACAAAGTGTATTTGGTGCCCTGCCATGGCAGTAACCTACTGGTGGACACCAGTGGTGAGGAAAGCTGTCAAGATGAAGAAGGACGCCTTTAGGGAAATGCCTGGATGTCTCGTGAGACAGATGAAAAGTACAGAGAAAAGAGCTGCAGTGAAGGCAGTTATGTTGCTAGAGACCTGTGTAAAGAAGGTGTTTGGAAGGCTATGGAGAGAAGCCAAAAAGACAGCTTAGCAAACCTTTCAACATCTCAGGAGGGCAAGCTGGAGCACTGATCAGGCCATGTTCAGCAGGAGTGGGAATTGGTGAACTACTCTGGAGATATTGTTGAGCGATGAAAGGAACATTCGTGGAACCACTTAGATGTAGAAAACTGTCACTCATTCTGTTGTTATGGTGGTCTCTATGGAAATAGATGTACCATCTATGGTAGATGAAGTCCTTCCTGGGATAATTAGGAATTTGTCTTTAAGTACTATGGTACTAGTTGTTGTGGTGAAATGCTGAAATTAAGTGACACATTACTGAACGGCTAACCCGAAGAGACACATCTGGGATTGGACTGTCTCATTCTCCAGAAACTGAAGATGAATAATTGATACATTGTGGTTGCCTCTGATGATTGGTGAGTTTTTTTGTTGATACACATATGAGAAGAAGAGAGGTTGTGTTTGTGTGTTCTCTCCATGTTTTTGAGAATAGGTGAACTGGTGTCTAAATTGTCCGTACTGGGTGTGCCCTGCAGTACACTCGTAAAAAGTGCTTCTTACCTTGTGTTTTCTTGGACAGGATTCAGGAACTTCCATTACTACACATGATCAGCAGAATAGAAGATAGACGTTTCAACATCTCAGGAGGGCAATTTAGAAGTACTTATCTGTGCAGAGTAGAATACTGAGCGGAA